ACACCCCAAAATCAGACAGGGAACAGGGGGGACACCCCAAAATCAGACCCCAAACAAGGCAAGGGGGACCCCAAATCAGCCCCTACCCCGAAGAAGGCGGGACCAGGATCCCCAGGAACCCCAAATCCAACCCCAGGCTCCTCAAATCCCCCAAACCTCCCCAAACCACCCAGGCCCTGCCCCAGGGACCCCCCCAAAACCCCTCCAAGGACCCCCCCAAACCTTTGGGGCTCCAGGGGGCGTCGTCCGTCACCTTCTTCTTTTTGGGGAGCGATTTCAGGGCGGGGTCGTCCTCGTCTGACTCCAGTGAGGGATAAACTGATGGGGGGGAAAGAAAAATTGGGGTTCAGGGGGGTCCTGGGGGCAGGAAAAGGGGAGTTCCAGAGGATTCCACAACGGCCTGGGAGTGGTTTTGGGGTGTTCTGGGGGTAATTTTTGGGGTTTCTGGGGTATTGCTGAGATATTTCGAGTGTTTTGGGGGGTATTTTTGGAGTATTTTCAGATATTTTGGTGTGGTTTTTGGATACATTTAGGGTGTTTTGGGGATATTTGAGGTGTTTTGGGGTATTTTGGGATACTTCTGGGGCACTTTGTGTGTTTTGGGGTGTTTTTGGGGTATTTTGGGGTGGTTTTGGGGTCACACTCACTGTACTCAGCATCCTTGAAGCAGGGTGTTTTGGGGGGATTTTGGGGCTGTTTTTGGGGTGGTTTTGGACGGGGGGACACCCCAAAATCAGACAGGGAATAGGGGACACCCCAAAATCAGACAGGGAATAGAGGGACACCCCAAAATCAGACAGGGAATGGGGGGACACTCCAAAATCAGACAGGGAATAGAGGGACACCCCAAAATCAGACAGGGAACAGGGGGGACACCCCAAAATCAGACCCCAAACAAGGCAAGGGGGACCCCAAATCAGCCCCTGCCCCGAAGAAGGCGGGACCAGGATCCCCAGGAACCCCAAATCCAACCCCAGGCTCCTCAAATCCCCCAAACCTCCCCAAACCACCCAGGCCCTGCCCCAGGGACCCCCCCAAAACCCCTCCAAGGACCCCCCCAAACCTTTGGGGCTCCAGGGGGCGTCGTCCGTCACCTTCTTCTTTTTGGGGAGCGATTTCAGGGCGGGGTCGTCCTCATCCGACTCCAGTGAGGGATAAACTGATGGGGGGGGAAGAAAAATTGGGGTTCAGGGGGGTCCTGGGGGCAGGAAAAGGGGAGTTCAGGAGGATTCCACAACGGCCTAGGAGTGGTTTTGGGGTGTTCTGGGGGTAATTTTTGGGGTTTCTGGGGTATTGCTGAGATATTTCGAGTGTTTTGGGGGGTATTTTTGGAGTATTTTCAGATATTTTGGTGTGGTTTTTGGATACATTTAGGGTGTTTTGGGGATATTTGAGGTGTTTTGGGGTATTTTGGGATACTTCTGGGGCACTTTGTGTGTTTTGGGGTGTTTTTGGGGTATTTTGGGGTGGTTTTGGGGTCACACTCACTGTACTCAGCATTCTTGAAGCAGGGTGCTTTGGGGGGATTTTGGGGTATTTTTTGGGGTATTTTTAGAATGGTTTCAGGGTATTTTGGGGTGGTTTTGGGGTCACACTCACTGTACGCAGCATCCTTGAAGCAGGGTGCTTTGGGGGGGATTTTGGGGCTGTTTTTGGGGTATTTTGGGGTGGTTTTGGGGTCACACTCACTGTACTCAGCATCCTTGAAGCAGGGTGCTTTGGGGGGGATTTTGGGGCTGTTTTTGGGGTGGTTTTGGGGTCACACTCACTGTACTCAGCATCCTTGAAGCAGGCCCCCAGGCTGTCCTGCTCATCCAGGCTCCCCTCAGCCTCGCTGTCGGTGCTCCGGGGGGCAGGGGGGGCTCTGCGGGGCCCCCCAGACCCCCCAGGACCTCCCCTTTCAGTGCCCCCACCCCCTCCCCACCAGTTTGGGGGTCCCAGAGGGGTCCCTGCAGGGAGGTTGGCCATGCAGAGCATGCCCTGGATGGCCTCGCGTGTGCTGGGGGAGGCGGGGGCCTCGCTGTGGGGACAAAAAGGGGAAAAAAAGGGGAAAAAATTGGGTTTGGGGGGGGTCACGGCATGTTTGGGATCATCACATTGAGGAGAAACAGCCCCAAAAGGAGATGGACGGGGGTAAAGTGAGCCCAACCACAGAAGTTACTCCCAAAACCCAACCAGGGACCCCAAATAATCCCTAAAACCCAACTAGGGACCCCAGGTAACCCCAAAACCCAACCCGGGATCCCAAATAACCCCCAGGGACTCCCCCAAATCAAACCCCAGTACCCTCAAAAGCAGCTAGTGACTCCCCCCAAGCCCCCCCAGATATCTGGGGAACCCCAAAATTAGCCCAGTCCTCCCTCAAGTCCCCCAGGACCCCAAAACCCAACCCCTGCATTCCCAAAACACTTGGGGGATCCCCCCAAAATCCCCCTCAAATCCCTCCCCCAGCCCTGGGGACCCCCAAATCCAGCTCAGCTCCTACTCAAAGCCCACCCCAGCTCCCCAGGAACCCCTAAAATCCAGCCCCTCAACTGCCCCCCAAAATCCTGCAGGGATCCCTCCCAGACCCCTCAAACCCAGCCCAGCCCCCCCTCAGACCCCCCCAAACCTGAGCTGGGGGTACTCGGAGCCCCCCACTTGCCGGCTGGCCTTGAGCAGGTCCAGGATCCCAGCGCTGCCCCCCGCGCCCCCCTCGTCCTCCTCGTCAGTGGTGTAATCCTCCTGGGGGGAGGGGGTCAGAAACACCCCAAAAAAACACCCAAAACACCCCAAAAACCCACCCCAGTCTGTCGTGCAACCCTCCTGGGGGGCAGGGAATCAGAAATACCCAAAAATACCTAAAAACACCCCAAAAATATCCTATAATACCCCAAAACAACTCAAAAGTACCCCAAAAACACCCAAAAATACCCCAAAAAACCACCCCAATCTGGGGTGCAACCCTCCTGGGGAGCAGGTGGTCAGAAACGCTCCCCAAACCCCATTTTTGGGGGGGCGTCCCAATCCCCACTTTTAGGTTGTCACCACAAAAACCCCCCTAAGAACCCCCCCAGGGCACTCCCAGTTCCCCTATACCCCCCAAAAACCCTCAGAACCCCCCAAATACCCCCATGGCTCCCTCCCAAAACCCCCCCAAGACCCCCCCAATTCCCTTAACCCCCCCCAAACCACCCAAGAGCCCCCCAAAACCCCCCCAGACCCACCTCGATGTCGAAGTCGACCTCCCCCGGCTCCCGCACCCGGTTGGGGTCAGAGCAGGGCTTGGCCCGGGGCAGCTTCCGGGGGAGCCCTGGGGACACCCCAAAAACGGGATTGGGGTTTGGGGGACTGCAGGGGGGTTCGGGGTCCCCCCATCGTCAGGGGGGCGGGAGTTGGGGGGGGGCTTGCGGAGCCCCCCCTTTTTGGGGGCTGGAACGCCCCAGGGGGGCCCAAAGGGGGTCCCCGACATTCCCGTGCTCTGCTGGAACAGTTCCTGTGGGGAGGGGATACAGAGCTCCCAGTATGTCCCAGTATGATCCAGTTCCTCCCAGTAACCCCAAAACCTCCTCAGAACCCCTCCCAGTGCCCCCCCCATTCCATCCCAGTCCCCCCCAGCCCCCAGGTGGGTTTGCAGCCCCCCAAGCTCTCTCAGTTGGGTTTAAACCCCTCCAGTTGGGTTTAAATCCTCCCCAGATGGGTTCAAAGCCTCCTAAGTTCAGTTTAAAGGTCCCAGGACGGGTTTAGAGCCCCCCCGAGATGACTTTACACAGGTTTAAACCCCTCCCCGTGGCTTCCCAGCCCCCCCAGTTGGGTTTAGAGCCCCCACAGATGAGTTCAAACCTCTCCCAGTTGGGTTTAAAGCCCCCTAGATGTGTCTAGACCCCCACAGATGGGTTCAAACCTCTCCAGGTGGGTTCCCAGCCCCCCCGACAGGTTTTAACCCCCCCCCAGGTGGGTTTAAACCCCCCCAGGGTGGGTTCCCAGCCCCCCAGGAGGGGCACCCACCTCGGAAGGTGTCCAGCAGGTGCCTCCCCACGTACCAGCAGACGGTCTCAAAATTGGGGAACTTGGCCAGGTCGGGGGTGTTGAGGCGACGCTGCAGCTCATACGCCCTGGGGAATTTTTGGGGGGTCAGGGGGGGCTTTGGGGAGGGGTGTTTGGGGGATCCACAGGCACCCCACAACACCTGCTGGGCTGAGGGCACCCTGAAATTCTCCCTGCATCCCAAAACTCCCACCCAGCTCCCTCAAACCCTCCCTCATCCTTCTCAATTTCCCCCGAAGCCCTTCCCCAACCCCCCCAAAGCCCCTCAAAACCCAAAACCACCCTCAAAACCCCAAAAACACCCCTAAAACCCTTCCAAAACCCCCAAACCCTCAACCAGCCCCCCCCAAACTCTCCCCAAAAACATCCCCAAACACCCTCAAAACCTGATCAAAACCCCCCAAAAGCCCCCTCCCCAACCCACCGGAGCTGCATGCCGATGTTGAGGCTGTGCAGGAAATGCCCCCCGAAGGCCAGAGAGTCCACGGGGGTCAGCACGGCGTGGATCCAGCCTGGGGACAGACACGGGGAACTGGGGTAACTGGGAGCACTGGGACAGGCACAGGGAACTGGGGCAGGCACGAGCAGCTGGGGCAACTGGAGAACTGGGAGGGGCCACTGGGGGAAATGGGAAAGGCACTGGGAGCACTGGGAGATGCAGGAGAGCACTGGGATCCATTGGAAAAGGAGAGGCTTGTTGGCTGGGGTTACTGGGAGCCCTCGTCTGACCCCCACCAGGAGACACTAGGGAGGTCCCCAAGGTCACCAAACCCTCCCCTGGTGACACAAGTGACACTGGGGTATGTTTGGGGGTGGTCTGGCCCTAGCCAGGTGACACAGGTCACCTAACCACCTAGCACACGTGACAACGGGGCTGCGTTTGGGGTCTGGCACAGGTGGCACAGGTGACACTGGGGGTCTCTGTCCCTTGCACAGGTGACACTGGGAGTGTCTGTGCCTTACACAGGTGACACTGCAGGTGCACTCGGGGTCTGGCACAGGTGGCACAGGTGACACTGGGAATGTCTGTGCCTTACACAAGTGACACTGCAGGAACGTTTGGAGCCTGGCACAGGTGGCACAGGTGACGCAAGTGACACTAGAGGTGTCTGTCTCTTGCACAGGAGACACTGGGGGTGTGTTTGGGGTCTGGCACAGGTGGCACACGTGACACAAGTGACACTGAAGTTGTCTATGCCTTACACAGGTGACACTGCAGGAACATTTGGAGTCTGGCACAGGTAGCACAGATGGCACTGAAAGTGTCTGTGCCTTACACAGGTGACACTGCAGGAACGTTGGAAGTCTGGCACAGGTGGCACAGATGGCACTGAAAGCGTCTGTGCCTTACACAGGTGACACTGCAGGTGCACTTGGGGTCTGGCACAGGTGGCACCAAGGTTGTGCCCAGCTGTCCCCGAGCCACCCCCTCACCTGTGGGGATGAAGAGGGTCTGTCCCTGGCGCAGGTGGCACCGGAAGCACCGATCCACCTGGTCCCCGAAGAAGAGCTCGGGCTGGTTCCGGGAGCTGCTCCAGGCCTCGAACAGCGCCAGGTTGGCGGCCGAGGGACGCGCCAGGTAAAAGATTTGCTCGCCCTGGGGCACAGGTGAGGGAGACACGTGGGACAGGTAAGAGCACCAGGTTTCATTCCCCCAAATGCCATCTGAAATCCCCCAAATCCCCTCTACAATCCCCTAAAACCCCTTCCCAGACCTCTGGAGAACCTCCGCCTCGTACCCTGAGCACGAGGTACCAGGCCGAGGTGCCCCGTCAGTCACCATTAAAGTCCCTGTAACCACACACCCCCAACCTCAATTACCCCAAAAAGCTCCCAAATCCCCTCTACAAACCCTCTAAAACCACCCCCCAGACTCCTGGAGAACCCCACCTTGTACCCTGAGCATGTGGTACCAAGCCGAGGTCCCTGGCAGTCGATGTGAAAGTCACTGTAACCACACACCCCAGCCCTAATTTCCCTGTAACTCCCCACAAGTCCCCTATAAACCCCCCCTAAATCCCCTACAAACCCCCCTCATACCCTGAGCACGTGGTACCAGGCCGAGGTGCCCCCGCAGTCGATGTGGAAGTCGCTGTAGCTGTCCTTGGCCCCCATCAGGCAGAATTTCTGCACGCTCGGCCGCTCCCGCGCCGACTCCCCCGGCCACAGGTTCTCCACCCACGAGAGCTTCCGCACAATCCGCGGGGTCTGCACCAGGTTCGACAGCCTGGGCACCCCAAAAAACAGGGGTCAGGGGCTGGGGAACCCCCCATGGGGCACGGGGTACCCCAGGCAGGAAAGGATGTAGTGGTGGATGCCAGGGAGGGGCAGGATCGGGGATTTTGGGGGTCCTTGGCGGGCAGGATCTGGGATTTTGGGTGTTCCTGTGGTTGGAGGAGGGAAGGGGGAGGATCTGGGTTTTCAGGGTCCCTGGTGTTGGAGGAGGAGGGAAGGGGGAGGATCTGGGATTTTGGGGGTCCCTGGGGTTAGGGAAGGAGAAGGATCCAGGCTTTTGAGGGTCCCTGGTGTTGGAGAAGAGGGAGGCACTGGGAGAACTGGAAAGAACTGGGAGTTTCTGGGAGCGCTGGAAAGGACCAGGCAGCACTAGAAAGAACTGGGAATTACTGGGAGCACTGGGAAAGGACCAGGCAGCACTGGAAAGAACTGGGAATTACTGGGAGCACTGGGAAAGGACTAGGCAGGACTGGGAGCCACTGGGACCCACCGTGTGTCTGAGAACTCCAGGCCGGTGACGCTGAGGACGCGCTCGCGCCGGGGTCCCCCCAGGTAGGCCACGAAGTCCCCGAGGCGCATGCGCAGCTCGGCCTGGCGGCCCACGTCCAGCACAGCCACCACCTTGTCAGCTCCTGAGGGCCCCAAAACTGCCTGAGCACCCCAAAAACGGCCAGGGAAACCCCAAAAATCTCTCTGTGTGCCCCAAAACTGCCTGAGCATCACAAAACCCCCCAAACCTCCCAGTGCACCCCAAAACTGCCTGAGCACTACAAAAACGGCTGAGAGACACTAAACTCCCCCCCCACCAACCTCCCTGTGCATCCCCAGACCTCCCTAAGCACCCCAAAACCAGCTGGGGGCCCCCAAAAATCCCCCCAAACCTTCCTGAGAGCCCCCAAACCTGAACAGGGACCCTCTGGGCCCTCACCCATCCCCCCAGGACCCCCCAATACAGTGTAAGAATCCAACAAGGGGGTGTAGTTATAGGGGGGACCCTGACCCTACTGTGGGGTCCTGGGTATCCCCTGACATCCCCAGACCCCCCAAACACCCCCATGCACCCCATACCATGAATGGGGGCCCTCTAGACCCTCACCTGTACGCCCAGGACTCCCCAGCAGAGTGCAAAGAGTGAACTTGTAAGGAGGAGCCTGCTCCTATTATGGGGTCTTGGGGACCCCCCCGATACTCCCAGCCCCTCCAAAAGCCCCTCAGCCCCCCCAAAGCCCNCCCCCAGACTGACCAACGTGGTGCAGGACGTCGCGGGGGGTGAAGGACGGGGGGGGCAGGGTCATGCCCAGCCCCTCGTGCCGTGCCACCAGGATGGGCACACTGAAGCTGTTCTCCTCCAGGTACTCCACGGTCAGCTGGGCCCCGCTGGGCCGCAGCAGCACCTCGTCCGCACTTGGGGGGCAAAGCAGGGGGGTGAGACCCTCAGGAGTGACCCCAGACCCCCTGAACCCCACAGGGACCCCCCCAACCACCACAGGGATCACCTAACTCCCACAGGGATCACCCAACCCCTGAGCATTTGCTGAGCCACAGCAGCACCTGATCCATGCTGGGGGAGCAGAGCAGAGCAGTGAGACCCCCGAGAGTGACCGACAGTCCCCAGGAGTGACCAACATCACTCAGGACTGACCAACACCCTCCAGAACTGACCTTCACCTGTGCAAGGGGTACAGCTGGACTGACCCTCACTGAGAGTGACCAACACCTGGCACCAACCTTCACCTGGCACTGACCCTCACCTGGCACTGACCTACACCCGGCCCTGCCCTCACCTGGGGAAGGTGCGGCCCCGCAGCTCCCGGATGAACTGGGCACTGCCGGTCCGGGCCGGACGGCCGGGGTCCTGCTCCGGGGCCTTGGCCGGGCCACGGCGCCGCTTCACTGCGGGACAGGGGGACACGGTGGGGACACAGGAACACGTGGGGACACACAGGGACACGTGGGGACACACAGGGACAGAGGGACATGTGGGGACAGAGGTACACACAGAGACACAGTGGGGACATGGACACACAAGGACACGGACACATGGGGACACACAGGGAATCGGGGACAGAGGGACACAGCGGGGATCCACAGGGAGCCCAGAGCATCTCCCCCGCCCCCATCCCAGTGCATCCCAGTCCTCCCCAGTCCCACTCACTGGCACTCTCAGTGCCCCCCATCCCAGTCCCTCCCAGTCCCCCCAGTCCCACTCACTGACGGAAGGCCCCCTGAGCACGGCGCACTGGGGGCAGTGGTACAGGTCGATCTCCGCCGCCGCCTCCTCCTCCACCCCCACGCAGCTGTGGGGACACCCCAGTAACTCCCAGTGCTTCCCAGTAACCACCAAGCACCTCCCCAGTAACTCCCAGTGCTTCCCAGTAACCACCAAGCACCTCCCCAGTAACCACCAAGCACCTCCCCAGTAACTCCCAGTGCCTTCCAGTAACCACCAGCCACCTCCCCACTAACCCCCATCACATCCCAGAATTATCTTTGTACTTCCCAATCCCTCCCAGACCTTCCCAGTACCCCGTAGCCCCAGTCCCCCGTAGCCCCCCCCCCCGCCCCAGAATTCTTCCAGTGCTCTCCAGTACCACCCAGGCTTCTCCCAGTCCTTCCCAGTACCCCCCTTAAGTCCCTTTCAGTACCCCTGGACTTCTCCCAGTCCCCTCCAGATGCCTCCCAGTACTTCCCAGACTTTTCCCAGTCCTCCCCCAGTGCTTCCCAGATGCCTCCCACTACTCCCAGTCCCCCCTCAGCCCCATCCCGGTGCCCCCAGTCGCACCTGCCATGGAACCAGTCCTGGCAGCCATCGCACTCGATCATGAAGCGGGTCACGTCGTAGGGCAGGCGGCACAGGCAGTACACGGGCACCGAGGCCATGGCCGGGCCCCCGGGGCGACCCCCGACCCTACGGACCCCCGCGACCCCCCCCGGCCCGGGACATCCGCGTGCTGCCCGCCAGACCCCCGAAAATCCCCTCCAAAGAAAAAACCAACCCAGAAAAACACTCTCAAAAGCGGCCTCAAAAAAAAAAAAAAAACACCAAAACACCCCCAAAAAAACAACAAAAAACACCCACAAAAAAACACAAAAAACCCCCCAAAAATTCACAAACCAATCTCCCCCAAAAAGCAACCGACCAAAATCAGCAACAACAAAACAAACAAACAAAAAATCCCAAAAAACAACAACAAAAAAAACACAAAAAAAACCCGCATACCGGGCCCCCGGGGCGCCCCCCGACCCTACGGCCCCCCGCGACCCCCCCCGGCCCGGGACATCCGCGTGCTGCCCGCCAGACCCCCGAAAATCCCCTCCAAAGAAAAAACCAACCCAGAAAAACACTCTAAAAAGCAGCCTCAAAAAAAAAAAAAACACCAAAACAGCCTCAAAAACACCCAGAAACAGCCTCAGCAAAACCCCAAAAACAGGCTCAAAAAACACCCCAAAAATGCCCCCCAAACAACTCCCTCAAAAAAAAAACACTCAAAAAAAAAAACCCAAAAACCAACCCCTCGGCTGCTCCCCTACAAACACCCCCAAAGCCCCCCCAAAACGCGGCCTGTGGAGGACCCTGAGGGGAATTGAGGGGCACGACCCCCCAAAAAACCCTATACGGGCCGGGGGCTCCCCAAAAGGGCCTGCAGAGACTTGGGATCCCCCCTCAGGTATTGATGAGGGCCTAAGACCTCCCCCAAAAGGGTCTAGAGGTGTAGGGAAACCCCTCCAAGGGTCACCAGGGCTCTGGGACCCCCTCCCCGAGGCTTTATACGGTCCAGAGCCCCCAAAAAAATGCGCCCACAGGGTCCCCCCCGCCCCTATAGCGTGTGGGAACCCCCAAAAGCGCCGCAGGGCCCGGGGTCCCCTCACAGCGTCCGTGGGGTCTCGGCCGCCCCCTCCCCCCGCGCTGTGGGGTCCCCGGGACCCCCCCAAAGACCCCCGGGACCCCTTGAAAGCTTTGGGGATCCCCAAAAAGCCGCCGACACCTCTTCAAGGCCGGCGGGATCCCCCCGAGGCCTGCGGGATACCGCGAGGCCTGCGCCCCCCCCACCGCCACCTCCCGACTAGGCCGCAGCCCGCCCCGGCAAGGCCCAGCGCTTCTCGCGGCCGCTCCTCCGCCGCCGCCCGGTCGCCGCCGCCGCTGCCGGCCCCGGGCCCGGTGCTGCCGCCGCCGCCGCGGCCTCTGCGCGCTCCGGGCCGCCCGGGAAAGTTTTATTCAAACGCGGAAACGGGGAGGGAGAGGGCGGGGCCCCGGCGCCATTTTGGCCGCGTCGCGCCGCCATCTTGGGAAGGGCGAGGACGCCATTTTGGGAAGGACGAAACGCCCCCATTGGGTGTGCGGGGGCGGGGCCGCCATCTTGGGCGTGGCGCCGCCGTCGCCAGCTTGAGTGTGGCGACCCGGCCGCCATTTTGGGAGTGGCGCGCACCAGCCACGCTTTTATTTCTTAAATTTTAGGAATTTTTTTTTTTCTCGCGCTTTTTAACAATTTCCCCGCAAAACAAACGCCTTCCCACCCTCTCGAACCAGAACACCCGAGAATTCACCCCGAAACCTCGCTCGCTTGGTGAAGGGGTGAGGTAGATGAGAGGAAAACATGACAAAATGACCCAAAAATTGGGGTGAGGGAGGGGTACAGGAATAAGGGGGGGTTGTTGCACCAGTATGACCAGTATGGGGGGGGTGGGTCACCAGTAAAACCAGTACAGCCCGCTCTCCTCCACTGTGGTCACATGACAGGGAATTCCAGGCCTGTGAGGGGCTTTTGGTGAAAAATGGGAATTTTGGGGGCTCTGGAGTGTATTGAGGTGGGGAAAAAAGGAATTTTGGGATAAATGAGAGGTTTGGGTTCAACCGTTTGTGTTTTGGGGCAAAATGAGGCTGTCTGGGGGCTAAAAATTTGGGTCACTTCGTGTAGGGGACAAAAAGATCGGCAAGGGCCAAAAAAGGGATTTTTGTGTGAAATTAGGAGATTTTGGGGCTGAAAATCGGGTCTCCTGAGGGAGAAGGGAAGGTCCTGAAAGAGATTTTTTTGGGGTGAAATGATGCAATTTGGGGAGCAAAAAGTGGGGTAATGTTGTGGGAGGGTTAAAAAAGGGGAGATAGGCTGAAAAAGGGGGTTTGGGTTAAAACAAGGCAATTTTGGGGCAAACAAGTGGCATCACATTCAGGGCGTGTGAAAAAGAGGGGCGGAAAGGCCACAAAAAAGATTCTTGGGGTGAAATGAGGTGATTTGGGGGCTAAAAAACGGGGTCACCTCATGCAGAGGGGGAATGGCCCAAAAAGAGAATTTGGGGGTAAAATGAGGGATTTGGGGCAGAAAATTGGGGTGGGCAAGGCACAAAAAAGGGGAGTTTTGAAGTGAAATGAGGGGAGTTTGGGCACCAGAAAGTGGGGTAATCTTGCAAAGGGGGAATAACCCAAAAAAGGTGGGGGTTGGGATAAAATAGAAAGATTTTGGGGCCAAAAAGGGGGNGGGGGGGGGGGGGGGAGGATTTGGGGTCAAAATGAGGAGCTTTTGGGGTCAGAAACTGGGGGGGTCGAGTATCCTATAAACGGGATTTTGGGGGTGAATTGAGACCAAAAAGTGGGTTCAGCCCACACGGGCAGCAAATAAAGGGGAATTTTAGGGCAAAATAAGGCATTTTTGGGGCCAGAAACAGGGGTTACACCACAGGACCCAAACAAAGGGGAATTTCGGAGTGAAACGAGGTCATTTTTGGGCTGGAAATTTGGGGTCACCCAATGGGGGGGTTATAAAAGGGGGTTTTGGGGTGAAACAAAGCCATTCGGGGGCTGGAAATTGGGATTTTGACCCAAAATCAGGGGGTTTGGGGGGGGCAGGGTGTCGGGACCCCCCTTTACTCAGCCCCCGGGGGGAGGGGGCTGCCCCCCCCACGCAGGGCAGGCTTGGGGGGGGGCAGCTCCCCCCATTTTCGGGGGGTCCCACGAGTGCCGCGCAGGGTGGAGACCCACGAGGAGGTGGCCTGGGGGAGGAAGGAGGGAAAAATGGGGGTTCAGCTTTTGGGGATCCCCAAAAAACCCTCTCAGCTTCCCACCCACCCCCAGACCCCCAAAAATGGGGAGCAATCCCCCCCAGCCCCCCAGTAACCATCTCAGGCCCCAAAAAAATCCCCCCCAGATCCCTAAAACTGGGATAAAGTGCCCCTCCAGCCCCCCAAAAAGGGGTGCAGGCCTCCCCACCAAATGATCCCTCCAGACCCCCCTAAAATGGGGTGGGGAGCCATTCCAGCCCCCCAAAAGTCCCCCCAGCCCCCCCACCTGGGCCCTGGCCGTGTCCTGGACCCACTCGTCCACCAGCCGGTGCAGGTCGTCGGTGAAGAGCCCCTTTTTTGGGGGGGCCGGGGGCGTCGGGGGGCCCGGGGAGGGAGCTGAGGCCTCTGCAGGTAGGGGAGGGGAATTTGGAAAAGGGGGACCGACCTGCACCCCAAAACCTCCCCTTGCACCCTAAAACCTCTTTTTACCCCAAAGCCTGCACCGCCAAAATCCCTCCCTGCACCCCAAAACTTCCCCTTTTTACCCCAATCCCCTTCCCCCACTCCAAAATCCCCCCTTTGCACCCCAGAATCCTCTCTTTGCACCCCAAACCCCCTTTTGCATCCCAAAAATCCCCCTTTGTACTCCAAAATCCCCTTCCTGCGGCACCCCAAAATCCCTCCCTGCAACCCAAAACCTCTTTTTTACCCCAACCCCTTCCCCCACCCCAAAATCCCCCCATTTGTACCTCAAAATCCCCTCCTAGCCCCCCAAACCCACCCTTTCCACCTCAAAATCCCCGCACCCCCCCTTTTGCATCCCAAAAATCCCCCTTTGTACTCCAAAATCCCCTTCCTGCGGCACCCCAAAATCCCTCCCTGCAACCCAAAACCTCTTTTTTACCCCAACCCCTTCCCCCACCCCAAAATCCCCCCATTTGTACCTCAAAATCCCCTCCTAGCCCCCCAAACCCACCCTTTGCACCTCAAAATCCCCGCACCCCAAAATCCCCTCCTAGCCCCCCAAACCCACCCTTTGCACCTCAAAATCCCCGCACCCCAAAATCCCCTCCTAGCCCCCCAAACCCCCCCTTTGCACCTCAAAATCCCCGCACCCCAAAATCCCCTCCTAGCCCCCCAAACCTGTCAGGGCCACGCCCCGGCCCCGCCCTCGCGCCCGGGCCCCCCGAGGCCGCCGCGGGGACCCCCCGAGGCCACGCTGGGGTGGGGTCCCGCCGCCCCCTCCCCATTTCGGGGGGTCCCCCCGGGCCTCTTTGAGGGCTCGGAGCCGACGGTGCAGCTCCTGCAGCTCCCGGTCCTGCCGCGCCCGCAGCTCCAGAACCTCCTGGATGTGCCTGAGGGAGCAGTGGGGGTCACAGGGGGTCCCCAAAAACCTTCCCGAGACCCCCAAAACCTCTCCCGGACCCCCAAAACCCTCTCTGAGACCCCCAAAACTCTCCTAGGACCCCCAAACCCTCCCTGGGACCCCCAAAACCTCCCCAAGGTCCCAGTCATGCCACACTGGCAGCTCAAGCATCTCCTGGAAGTGCCTGGGTGAGGTCAGGGGATGCCCCTAAGCCCCTCCAAGCCCCCTTGGGACCCCCAAAATCTCCCCAGGACCCCCCAAACCACCCCCCAAAAGCCCCTCACTCACTTTTCCCGCAGCCGCCGCAGCTGCTCCCGCAGCGCCTCGTCCTCAGGCTCCGAGTCCCCATCGCTGCTCAGGGGGGTCTCGGGGGACCCCGGGGGTAGCAGGGGGGGGGGGCACACAGGTGGTGGAAATGGGGGGTACAGGGGGAGCACATGAGGGGTGTAAATGGGGGGCACATGGGGGGATACATGAAGGGCTATGAATGGGAGACACAGACGGGGTTTAGGGGTACATGCGGGGTGCAGATGGGCTCCCCAGGGGTTTTGGGGTCCCCCCCCATACCTGTGTGGGGGTCCCCCCCGCCGGAGGGGGGGCGCAGGCGCCGGGCCCAGCTCTTGATGCGGCGCCCCCAGCCCTTGCGGGGGCTGCGCAGGCGGGGGCACAGCCCCAGCGGGAACGACGCGCCCCCGGGCGGGGGGCGGGCGGGGGGCACGGCCTGCGGGACGGGAACGGGGTTGGGAACGGGAATGTGGGGATATGGGAACATGGGGATATGGGAATGGGATTGGGAACAGGAACAGGATTGGGAATGGGAATATGGGAATGGGAATATGGGAATGGGAACAGGAATGGGGATAGGAATATGGGAATGGGAATATGGGAATGGGAACAGGATCAGGAATGGGGATGGGAATATGGGAATGAGATTGGGAACAGGAACAGGAATGGGAATATGGGGATGGGAATATGGGAATGGGATTGGGAACAGGAATGGGAATATGGGAATGGGGATGGGATTAGGAATGGGAATGGGATTGGGAATGGGAATGGGAATGGGAATGAGGATGGGAATATAGGAATGGGAATGGGGTTGGGATTGGAAATGAGGAAGAGAATATGGGAATTGGGATGGGAATGGGATCAGGACTGGGGATAGGGCTGGGAACAGGATGTCAGCATGGAGGGGGTACACCAGGGTCAGCGGGGTCTTGGGGTTGAGGTTAAAGGGACACCAAGAGCATGAGGGTTTGGGTTTAGGGTCACTGGGGTCTTGGAGTTGGGGGTCATCAAGGCCTCGGGGATGGGGTTCTGGGGTCATTGGAGCATTGGGGGTGGGGGTCAGGGCCACAAAGGATTCAGGGTTTGCTGGACAGGGAATTTGGGGTTAGGGACAGTCATTCCTGGTCTTTGGGGAACAGTGGGGTCTTGGGGTTTGGGGGACACCAAAGTTCTGAGGATGGGGACAGCAGCCTCTGGTCCTTGAGGGACACTGAGACCTTGGGGACTGGAGGACACCTGGGGCTCAGGGGTGTCCAGCTCTTGGGGTGGGGGACACTCACCTCTGGTCCTGTGGGTCCCTCCTGCCCCCAAGCACCGGTGACGAATGTCCCCAGTCCTTGGGGGTCACCTGGTGGCTCTGGGGGTCCAGTGACGAATGTCCCCAGTCCTTGGGGGTCACCTGGCTCTTGGGACACATCCAGCTCTGGGGGGTCAGGCGGTTCCCTAGGTCCCTCCTGCTCCCACAGGGCAGTGACTGTCCCCTGTCCCTGGGGGACACCTGGCTCTGCATCCCCAGGGATGAGGGGCTCTTGGTGGCCATTGAGCTCCGGAGGTTTGGGGACAGCCATGTCCGGGTGTCCAGGTCCCTCCTGCTGGCAAGGGCTGGGGACACTCAGCCCCGGGCCTTGGGGAGCCCCCAGATCTTGTGGTTCAGGGTTGATCCTCTCTGGTGCCATGGGTTCAGCCACCTCCTGGGGACCGGTGACAGCTGTTCCCAAAGCCTGGGGGACACCCAGCTCCTCTGGTTTGGGGACAGCTGACTCCTGTCCCTGGGGGACATCCAGCTCCTGGGCTTTGGGGACCTCTGTCTCCGGCCCCCCTGGCCCATCCTGCTCCGACGCTCCGCTCTTGTTTGTCCCCTGTCCTTGGGGACCCCCCTGAGATGTCTCCAGGGCTCTCCGGGCAGGTGGGGGTCCCCCGGGGCCTGCGGGGAGGGGACACCCCCATCAGGAATGGGGTGGGAGTGACACCCCCAAGCCCTGGGGTGGTGGTGGCAGGTCCATGTCCCCTGCCAGCCCCTGGGGACGCACCGGTGGCCTCGCGGTTCCGGATGGTTTGGTTGATGCAGAACCTCCAGCGCCCCACGGGCGACGACTGGGGGGGGCCTTCTCCTGGTGGGGGGCGAGGGGTCAGCGGGTGGGGGGCGACCCCAGCCCCCTCCCCTTTCCCACTACTCACCACCCGCTGGCGGCTCCAGGGGTCCCACCTGGGGGGAGACACATTTGGGGGGTCAGCAGGAGGGGAGGGGTGGTGGGAGGGGTGAGGCAGGGGTGGGGGCAGGGGGAGCACCTGGGGGTCTGGGGCAGGGGTCCCAAGGAGCCCCCGCGCCTGCTCCACGATAGCCTTGAGCTCCTCCACGAACTTGTCCCGCTCCCCCTCCAGGACAAAGTTGTCCTCGACCTGCGGGGAGGACACGGGTTGGGAAGGAGGACAGAATGGGAATATGGGAATGGGAACAGGATCAGGAATGGGGATGGGAATATGGGAATGAGATTGGGAACAGGAACAGGAATGGGAATATGGGGATGGGAATATGGGAATGGGAACAGGATCAGGAATGGGGATGGGAATATGGGAATGAGATTGGGAACAGGAATGGGAATATGGGAATGGGGATGGGATTAGGAATGGGAATGGGATTGGGAATGGGAATGGGAATGGGAATGAGGATGGGAATATAGGAATGGGAATGGGGTTGGGATTGGAAATGAGGAAGAGAATATGGGAATTGGGATGGGAATGGGATCAGGACTGGGGATAGGGCTGGGAACAGGATGTCAGCATGGAGGGGGTACACCAGGGTCAGCGGGGTCTTGGGGTTGAGGTTAAAGGGACACCAAGAGCATGAGGGTTTGGGTTTAGGGTCACTGGGGTCTTGGAGTTGGGGGTCATCAAGGCCTCGGGGATGGGGTTCTGGGGTCATTGGAGCATTGGGGTTGGGGTTCAGGGACACCAAGGATTCAGGGTTTGCGGGACAGGGAATTTGGGGTTAGGGACAGTCATTCCTGGTCTTTGGGGAACAGTGGGGTCTTGGGGTTTGGGGGACACCAAAGTTCTGAGGATGGGGACAGCAGCCTCTGGTCCTTGAGGGACACTGAGACCTTGGGGACTGGAGGACACCTGGGGCTCAGGGGTGTCCAGCTCTTGGGGTGGGGGACACTCACCTCTGGTCCTGTGGGTCCCTCCTGCCCCCAAGCACCGGTGACGAATGTCCCCAGTCCTTGGGGGTCACCTGGTGGCTCTGGGGGTCCAGTGACGAATGTCCCCAGTCCTTGGGGGTCACCTGGCTCTTGGGACACATCCAGCTCTGGGGGGTCAGGCGGTTCCCTAGGTCCCTCCTGCTCCCACAGGGCAGTGACTGTCCCCTGTCCCTGGGGGACACCTGGCTCTGCATCCCCAGGGATGAGGGGCTCTTGGTGGCCATTGAGCTCCGGAGGTTTGGGGACAGCCATGTCCGGGTGTCCAGGTCCCTCCTGCTGGCAAGGGCTGGGGACACTCAGCCCCGGGCCTTGGGGAGCCCCCAGATCTTGTGGTTCAGGGTTGATCCTCTCTGGTGCCATGGGTTCAGCCACCTCCTGGGGACCGGTGACAGCTGTTCCCAAAGCCTGGGGGACACCCAGCTCCTCTGGTTTGGGGACAGCTGACTCCTGTCCCTGGGGGACATCCAGCTCCTGGGCTTTGGGGACCTCTGTCTCCGGCCCCCCTGGCCCATCCTGCTCCGACGCTCCGCTCTTGTTTGTCCCCTGTCCTTGGGGACCCCCCTGAGATGTCTCCAGGGCTCTCCGGGCAGGTGGGGGTCCCCCGGGGCCTGCGGGGAGGGGACACCCCCATCAGGAATGGGGTGGGAGTGACACCCCCAAGCCCTGGGGTGGTGGTGGCAGGTCCATGTCCCCTGCCAGCCCCTGGGGACGCACCGGTGGCCTCGCGGTTCCGGATGGTTTGGTTGATGCAGAACCTCCAGCGCCCCACGGGTGACGACTGGGGGGGACCTTCTCCTGGTGGGGGGCGAGGGGTCAGCGGGTGGGGGGCGACCCCAGCCCCCTCCCCTTTCCCACTACTCACCACCCGCTGGCGGCTCCAGGGGTCCCACCTGGGGGGAGACACATTTGGGGGGTCAGCAGGAGGGGAGGGGTGGTGGGAGGGGTGAGGCAGGGGTGGGGGCAGGGGGAGCACCTGGGGGTCTGGGGCAGGGGTCCCAAGGAGCCCCCGCGCCTGCTCCACGATAGCCTTGAGCTCCTCCACGAACTTGTCCCGCTCCCCCTCCAGGACAAAGTTGTCCTCGACCTGCGGGGAGGACACGGGTTGGGAAGGAGGACAGAGATTGGGGAAGGGGACATGGGCTGGGGACACAGAGTGGGGAGGGGGACACAGATTGAGGGGGAATATGGTTTGGGGAGGGGGACACGGATTGGGAAAGAGAACATGGTTTGGGGGGACACAGATTGAGGATGGGACATGGGTCAGGGACATGGGCTGGTGGCACAGGGACACAAATTGGGGTTGGGGGATACAGATTGAGGGAGGGGGACATGGACTGGGAAGGGGGACATGGGTTTGGGAAGGGGACATGGACTGGAGGCAAGGGACTTGGATCAGAGATGGACGTAGGCTGGGAAAGGGGACAGGGACTGGGGAGGGGACACAGGCTGGGGACACAGGGACAGCTCGGGGGTCACCATGTAGCAGGCGATGTCCTCGGGCGCGTCCCCGTCCGCGTCAAACCTGAAGGTGACCATCTTGCTGTCGTGGGTCTCCAGCTGGCACTCCACCGTGTTGTCCCCAGCTGAGGACACCTGGGGGGTGGTGACACTCTGTGACCGTGCTGGGATGTCCTCACGCAGGCCCCCTGGCCCCCAGCCCCGCCCTGACCTGCAGCACGGTGAGCTGGAAGCGGGCGGGGCGCTGGCACGACGCACGGCGCTGCCGGGCACGCGGCCCGGGGACTTCGGGGACATCGGGGACGCGCAGCAGGGACGCAGCCTCGGCGGGCACCGAGGGGTCCTCGGAGCCAGGGAGCGTAGGGGGTTGTGGCATTGGGGATGGTGGTGGCATCTCTGGGGCTGGTGGCATCCCCATGGCTGGTGGCATCATGGATGGCGGTGGCATCTCTGGGGCTGGTGGCATCCCCATGGCTGGTGGCATCATGGATGGTGGTGGCATCTCTGGAGCTTGTGACATCCCCGGGGCTGGTGGCAGCACAGATGGTGATGGCACCCCTGGGGTTGGTGGCATCATGGATGAAGTTGGCATCCCTTGGGCTGGTGGCATCATGGGTGGAGCTGGCATCCCTTGTGCTGGTGGCATTCCTTGTGCTGGTGGCACCATGGATGGTGGTGGCATCTCTGAGGCTGGTGGCATCATGGATGGTGGTGGCATCCCTTGTGCAGGTGGCACCCCTGGGGCTGGTGACACCCCCATGACTGGTGGCATCACAGATGGAGGTGGCATCCCTTGGGCTGGTGGCATCATGGATGGAGCTGGCATCTCTGGGGCCGGTGACATCCCCATGACTGGTGTCATGATGGACAGAGGTGGCACCCCCAGAGCTGGTGACATCCCCACCACTGGTGGCATCCCTGGAGCTGGTGACATCCCTGGCACCAGCTGCGGCTGCATGGTGGGGACTGGCTGTGGTGGCATCCCCTGGGCTGGTGGCATCCCAGATGGTGGTGGCATTCCTGGACCTGGTGGCATCCCCTGGGCTGGTGGCATCCCAGGGGCTGTCGGTGGCATTCCAAGGCCTGGCTGCAGCTGCACCATGGGGACCAGCTGTGGTGGCACCCCAGATGGGGGTGGCACTCCTGGAGCAGGTGGCATCCCAGGGGCTGGTGTCACCCCTGGAGCTGGTGGCATCCCCTGGGCTGGTGTCACCCCCAGAGCTGGTGGCATTCCAGCTGGAGGTGGCACCCCCAGAGCTGGTGTCACCCCCAGAGCTGGTGTCCCCGCCGAAGCTGGTGGCACTCCAGTAGGAGGTGGCACCCCTTGCACTGGTGACACTCCAGGAGCCGTTGTCACGCCTGCAGCTGGCAGTGCCACCCCCGCTGTCACTCTTGGCGCCATCCCTGGCCCCGGTGCCCCGGGTGCCACCTGTGGCTGTGACCCCACTGTCACCAACCCCCCGCCACAGCCACAGGGGTCCCCCTCCGGCCCAGGTGGCTCCGTGGTGGCTCCTCCAGTGCCATCCTCTGCTGTCCCCTCGGTCCCCTGGGTCACCTGCAGGACACGAGGCAGTGCCAGGGGGGTCTGGACCCCCCCAGGACCCCCCAGTGTGACAGGCACTTACCGGTGGTGGCACAGCGGGGGACAGTCCATCCTGGGGTCCCTGTGGGTACCCCCAGAGCTGCTCAGATGCTCCGGTGACACCACAGGGACCGGGGACATCAGGTCCTGGGGCGTTTTCCAGGACCCCCTCAGCTGTGGGGAGGGAGCAAAGGTGGGGGTCACTGCCGGGGGGCTGCTCAGATGCTCCGGTGACACCACAGGGACCGGGGACATCAGGTCCTGGGGCGTTTTCCAGGACCCCCTCAGCTGTGGGGAGGGAGCAAAGGTGGGGGTCACTGCCGGGGGGGGGTCTCA